AGAGAGAGAGAGAGAGAGAGAGAGAGAGAGAGAGAGAGAGAGAGTATGACCATGACGTTTGATCTAATAAGATTGAAAATTAAATACTACATAAATTATTAGTTATTTCTTGCTCGAAATATTATGAAAATTATACTCTGGTACAAGTAATACAATTTCAATTCTTCCTAACATTTTTAAATGAACTATCATTTCCAAACCCCAAGAGTAAACGTTCAATTACATTCGCTGAATGAGTTAAATTGCACATAAGAGGATTATTCTGTAAAATTACTTGGAATTTGTGATGTAGATAGAATCTATGCATAACTTAAATTCCATTTAGCATATATAGAACTGTACGTCACTTCCTGATGGGTTTGAGTATTTTAAATTATCCTATTGCACGCTATCAGAACCAACGATATTGTTACATCCGTTAAATAAACTTAACTTGGAGCTGTCTCATACATGTATAAGAACAGAGGTATTCTGTATAAACTTCAGCGTTGCACGATGTTCTTCGTAAGTGAAGAGTAGCCATACTAACGATAGTAAGTTTGTGGACTATTTGACAAATGAAAACCTTCGATATATATCTAAAGTGTTGTACCTACATAATATACACAAAATGGAATTCTGAATGACTAACAAGTAAATGGAGGTGTCACTCATCAATTTTAATGAAACTTTGCAAATTTGTATAAGTATGAAAAATATGTGACAAGTATTTTTTTTATCGGCAAAGGTCCACTCTGAAGGGTGAAAACTATCCCTTAAAGGTAAGGGGTAGATTTAACATATTAGGTGAAATAAGTTGAACATTTTAAAAAGTAAAATGCGTTAAGGGGCTTTTGCGGCGTGCAAGCGCTTTCCCTTTTCACTAACGCATACATACACTGTATATAAGAGCGGTCTGATGTTTACGTATCTGGACGCCATATTAGGTCGGCCATTTTGAATTTCATACATTTGACATAAAATTTAGTTTCAGCGACCCCAAAAACGATCTCCTACATATTTTACTTTTTAAAATTTGTAACTTATTTCATCTAATTATACATTAAATCTACCCCTTACCTTTAAGGAATAGTTTTCATCCTTCAGAATAGATAAAAAAAATACGTGTCAAGTATTTTTCATAATTTAACAAATTTGCAAAGTTTCATTAAAATCGATGACTAACACCACCAAGTGTGAAGCTGGTCCCTCAATATTAAAAAATCGATTTTTTAATATTGGGGAGCCAGCTTCACACGGGTGACTAACACCTCCGTAAGTTTACTTGTACGATTTATATTCAAAGACAGAGATATTCAATAGAAATCGATATTTTCTGTATACAAAATTTGATTATGGAATATATAACTATTATAATCATTCTCTTTGGATAAAAAAAAGTTATACTAAATTAAAATACACTATATAAATAAATACATTATTATGTATAAAATTAAGTTTTTTTATTAATAAAATTAAATTAAAATATTATAATAAAAAAATATGTATTGCAATCATTTGGTTTATAACACTTGAATATATTTTTCTTTTGAACAATAAATATAAGAAATAGAGTTACCGCGCAACACGATACACAGTGTATAATATAATTATTAACAAACGTTTATTTAATTTACATTAAATCACTAATTTATTGTGAATTAAATAACTTTTTGTTTTGGCTTTAGAAAATAATCTGTATTTATTTACATAATATTTGTTCCCCAATTTAAACTTTTCTTTACGAAAAAGAAAAATTTCAAATTTTATTCTGTTCTGTAAATTGAACTCGTGTTGTTTACTGTTCATGCAGAAAAGGGATGCTGGAGTATATTTAATATTGACGTTTCACGTTCAATACTTACTAGTTTTATGTTTCCAACTTTTCTATTTTTGTTAGTTAACAATTGAACACATAGATACAGATACTGTCAATCATCTTGACTAAATTTGGAAAATAATTGAAAGTTTTTATAAAATATAAAAATTTTAGTTTTTAGTACCAAATCTATATTAATTTGTTTTAAAGTTATACATATACAATTCTTCTACAAATCTTATAAATATAAATATATATATATAAAAAAATTTATAAGATTGTGGATTTACATTTTGTATATTGTATTATATGTACGAGTATTGTACAGACAGAACTTTTGCATTTTTTTGTACTTTTTTTATTGTTATATTTTAAAACGAATTTTTCCCTGTCATACCTTAAATTAATTATTACTTGATTTTGCTTTAGCAAACATTTGTGAAATACATTTTCAGTTAGGCTTACTATTTTGACGCAGTAACGAGTAATGGGAACTAATTATTTCTAATAAGTAACTTTTTATTCTCTGATTTATATATATTAATAATTATTTACAATTTTAATCTTATTTTGTATAAAAATATTTTGTATAAATTGTAGTATATAAATAGCACAAGGCAATCAAAATCAAATCCTTCTTTTTTTAATTAATAAAGCTTAATTGTTAAACTATGGTAATACAGTGGAACGAATGCAACCACTCTAATTAGGTTAAAGTTCTCTTATCGTTTCCAGTGATGCGCTACCAACAAATATACTGCAATCTCCTGACCTATCTCCTTAGAATAATCGTCGATTCAATCTCTTTCACATTTATAATAGATCGTATACGCGATGTTTATGAGAATTTTTTTTCTCACACGATTTTATGTGCGCGCATTTCCTATTAAAAAACGCTGAACAATCCCCATTTGACATATAGATTTACATATTTTTGAAGACTATATTACATCGAGACCCGTTAGGTTATGCTAGGAGAATTTTAGTGGAATGAAACTGTTACTACTCACCAATATTCCGTTTTGCTATGTAAATAGCCACCGTCAGGCCACAATAAGTAACAAGAGATTCTAGTTGTTCCATTGGAATATCTACAATTGATTATACATCAATTTCTATGAGAATATTGAATATAGAGTAGTAATAAATATTGAGAAGATTAAACTTCTAAATACATCTATCAATTATATATGTACTCCTTAAATTCTCAAATATTAATTATTAAGAAAGTTTTGTTTTTTGTAAAGTCTCATGGGGAAGAGAGAAAAATGGATATGAGAGAAAAAAGTCTCATAGGATTAAAGCCATGGAGTCCAAGGAGAAACGGGTTTAGGTATATGGATACCTATAAAAAGAAAAACAATGTGAGGGTGAAAGTTATTTGTATGAAACATTGACTTCACGGGGTAGAAAACAATATAAAGATGTTGCGAATACGAATTTCACGATTTTTTGTTACAAAAACTTAATAGAAAAAAATTTAATAATTGTAAATACGTTAAATATTCTCGTTTTATTTAATTTTGAAATGTGATTTTAAAATATCGCTTATTTAAATTACATACAATCATGTGTAATATTTAACATTTTACAACACGATAAATGTACAATTTATTTTTTATTACAAACATTATTTTTAGTTTGTTAAAATTTATGGAAAATTATTTATTATAGAAGAGAAATACGATTTTGGAAATATATGAACGGCTTTACAAGCAGACGGTCGGCTTTAAAGGATAGTATCAGCTTTAGGAACCTGTAAAGCAGATACATAATGTCCTTAAAATGAGAAAATTTCTGAAAGTAGAAAATTTTGGTTAGACATACTTCTCATTCGATGATACATTTTGAAAGATGAAAATAGAACGTATTGTATATTAAAATTTTTCTTAAATATATATTACAAATATACAAAAAATCATAAGCAAAGAGAAAATAAGTGAAAATTTATAGACAAGGAAAGAAACAACTTTCTGGCTCAAAACGATAAGAAATTTAAAGCTTTGCCTGGCTACGAGCAGATTATTAAACAAATATATAGTCTGCAATTTTTGTAACGTTTTTATATTAAAATTAAAAAGTACCAAATTTTTTTCCAAATTTATATCATTAAAATATATATATAAATAATTATTATATATATATTTATAAAAGAACGTCAACGACAATTAACCTATAAAAAATACAAATCATTAAAACAATTCTTCTATAAAATTTAATCTCTTACATTTTGATTCGTTATTTTAATTTGAATAATGTCTTATTCATTAGTTTGCATTATTTATTAGATAAAATAAAATATGCTTCTTTTATTGTTTTATTAATTATCAGTGTTTGTTTAATTATCGATAATAATGTATTTGAAAAATATGAAATGTGTAAATATATATACATATAAGAATAATGTACGAACTTATGTGAAATAGGTAACCTATAAAGATAAAACGCCGTGTAAATCTATAAACACTTTATAGCTATCTCTTAATGTAGATATATGTAGTTATATGCTGGTAGATATGTATATACAACCTATGAAACTAAGGCATTATAACTTAGACATTACCTAACAAAGGGATTAAGCTAAATTATGCTCTGACTATAATGTATAACAAAAACTTTATTTCTGTCATGCGAAACAAAGAATATTTTAAATAAAACGTACATTTTTCATACTTTTTTATCACTTTTTAACAAAATACAACGTTATAGTTGTATACATAATTAAATTGTAGGTATTTTTAAAATTATAAATTATGAGCTCTCTTTTCTGTTTTATTATAGTTACCTGCGCAATGATGTTGTGGAATATAAAAGACACGGGGTTGCTAATGCAGATGATATGCCCCAGATTAAAATCAAAGTAATCACTGTCCTCTTGCGAGACATATGGTGTTTAAGAGGATACATAATGGCCATATATCTGCAACAAACGACATAATGATGCTGTTTAATAATCCCCAATATAGATTCAAATTAATTACTAAGATTTATTACGTTTAATCTTGTGTATACTATTATTATCCCTTTCGATACATTTTTTTATCTTTTACAATAAGTTTTGTTGCATAATAACTTTAGACATAACTGTATATATTTACCATTATACCAAACAAGATTTGGCAGTACTTGTGTTATAAAACTTAGTAAAATTATAATGAAAGAAAGGTATATATATATATATATATATAGATAACAATTCTTATTTATTTTTTATTTTATTATTTTATATAATGTTCTTCTAATAATTATTTTTATTTGAAGTAATGGTTACTCTAAAATTTTACAAAATGTTTTATTTTTAATTTCTATATGTATAATATATTCTATTCATACATTATTTGTTATGCATATACAATTTATTACACAAAGCATACATACAATTTATATCCTATATGTGCTTTATGTAATAGCTATTTCGCATGTAAGTCAGAAATTCAAAATGTAATCATGCGAAGCGAAATAATTTTACGTTAGGAAATGTAGTTGCGTGTAATAAAAGTGTAAATTGCTCTGTTGCAAATTGTACTGATATTCTAGATCGAAAATATTTCCCATATGCTGCACGTAACGCTACATCTCGTAAAACATAAGTTTTCAAGATTGAAATATGTTATCATATACATATACGTGCGATGTAATACCATGCACTTTTTATAATCAGTAATAATACGAAATCTATTCTATATATTTCTTACTATCTACGTATATATTGGATGATTGCATAAGTTCGTGCCCGATTTTCATAGATGTCACTAACTTTATGTTTATTGCAGAGTTTGGTGTTTTTTTGTTTGGTTTTTTGTATGCTCTAAATAAATGATAGTGTCATGAATCACTTTAGCGTCAGGGTATCGATCATAAAACTTTTTCCCTAGGATAAAAAATGAAAAGTGAACATTTTTACCATTGTAGTTAATGGAGAAATTTTTCACTTTTCATTTTCCATCCTAGGGAAAAAGTTTCATGATCGATACCCAGACATCGTGTAGATAAGTCGATTTGTGCGTGAAAGAAATTTTTCAAAATGGAGAACGAAAAGGTATTGGAAAAAGTTTCATGATCGATACCCAGACATCGTGTAGATAAGTCGATTTGTGCGTGAAAGAAAATGGAGAACGAAAAGGTATATTTCCGACATGTAATGTTATACGAGTTTCGGAAAGGCATGAGTGTTGGGACTGCTCAAAAAAACATTTAGAGCGTTTATTTAAATCGTGCTCCTGCTCTCCGGACAATTAAAAAGTGGTTTCGCAGATGTCGAAATAGTGATTTCAATTTAGAAGATCAACCTCGCTCTGGACGTCCTTCCGGCATTGATGACGATATTGTGCGTGCTTTGGTAAAAACAAACCCAAGGATTACAATTGAGGAGATTACGGAGAAGCTAAACATAGATAATTCAACTTTTAGCATATTTTACTTTTAAATCGGACATTATGCAATCAGCTAATATATATGATAAATATAACAAAACGAAACATGATATATGTATTATATTTAACAATATAAATAATCCTGAATAAACTTTGGAATATTTTTCATATAACTGACATTAACATATTATATTATATAACACAATAAAATTTCATTTATGATTGTTTAACACTTAAGTGTTGAAATCGACAATTGAACATAATTATGACATTATTATAACGTTAAAGCTAATTAGAATTATCACGCAGACAGAATGATGCGATGTATAATTTCATAAATTATCGCGTGTTTCTCACATTCACCAGATTATAAACATGTCCCTTGTGCTTCGACATTAACATTATTGCTTTTATATCTCCCATATGCACGCAATAACATTTATTTATCCGCGTTTATGCGCTTATCAAAGAGGATATAATAGATGACTGATTTTTACCGATTGGTCAGATTAATCGATTATTTCACCATTAGATTTTAATTATTTAAATAATTTTGAATATATATATATGTATATATATGAACATATACACATATAGAAAATAAAAAATATTAAGTTTGCGAAAGCAGAATTATTTGTTCTCAATATATTTTATCCGATTAAAAAAACGAATAAAATAAAATCCATTAAACAATCGGAAAATTTGATTTACAATATATATATCTTTATTAAAATTTTATGCCATTGTTATTTGAAAATTATTTTTATTTACTATTATAGAATACGGACTTATTTTAGTGTAACACGTTTTATTAGTTGGTCAAATGTCAGAATAAACAAAAAAAGTTATATAATAATATCTTTACAATAAACGGAAGTTCATGAATTTAATTATGTGTTCCATAGTTTTATTCAGTTATCGTCAGTTCAGTTTTAGTGAGACAATAATTAATCTACGTTTGAAATACGAATTGTTCATTTGCCATGCAATAAACTGTTCAGCGAGTTTCTGAGGAAACTAAACTTGACAATTACTTCTACGCTTTATGTTCTTGTGAGATTGCAGGAAGTTTTAGAAATGTATAAATCTACAATAGAATTTCTTGCTAGTGTCTATATCGACGTATAAATTATAATCAAAGAAACGGAACTATCTCTACTCTTCTTGACTAAGTTTATAAAGATAGTACAAAAAAATTTACATCTTAATTTCTAATAAGTAATGATACCGAATGCATTTAAAAACAGAACAGTTTGTCGCGTGTACACACGTCGAATGCTCGCATTTTGTGTTTGTTAATCGTTATACATCGTATGCTAATAATGAAAACTAGGTGCTCTCTTTGAAATCTTAACACTTTACTACTACTACGAGAAATTTCTCCGTTTAATATCGTCAGACGAACGACGAAAGTTGTCGCAAAGAAATATTTAAACCAAATGATAAAATTTCTCAATGCAAATACAAATATTGTATTTTGTCACTATTATTTATTAACTGTTAATATTGACGAAAATGCTCAGCATTAAAAAAAATCAGCTTAATATATAAATATAAAACAAATTTATTTTTGTAATTTGTAAATAATATTTAATATTTGAAAAATTATGAACTAGTGATTTGTTAAAAAAGTATTAGTGATGCCTTTAAAAACATTTATAAAACATACAAGTATTATTTTATTAAGTTTCAATTTTTATTAAAATTTTAACAACACACAGTTAATATATACATATTATCTTATCTTTAGATTTATAAGAGGAATCTAAATAAAAAATCTGAATGATTTAATATAAATTTACTTAATATATTTAAACTTTCTCAAATTTATTTTAATAAAAATTTGATATTATTATCAAGTTATTTAATAGTGCAAATAAAAGAAAATTACAACAACCCCAATAATCGCTAATATTAAATTTTAGTTAAAAATTTACCCCTAAAACGCATTTCTACTGTAACCATTATCTTTCTTTGGCCACACAAAAATGCAGATAAATGCAGCCGTCGTTTGGTATTGTACAAACCAAAACAATAAGTGACGTAAACAAAATGGTTGCATTGTTTTCTTCGTGAGTTTTTTCACGCATGGGAAACTATGATGGCAAGATATTTCGGTAAAGCCGTCGAAACCATAACGACATTTCGCGTCACGAGAACGCGAAACATTCTATACACGTGATAAGAATTACAGCCTGTAACCCGTTTGAAAATAGCTGTGCGGTGAGCTGTCTCCGAAAACATATTAAGTCATTTATCGCAGGCTGAAATATTAATACACGAGCACGTCTAGACGAAAATTGCATATAAATGTTCACCTCAAAGATAATGTAATAATATTTTTACTATTTGTCTTAATATTGTAAAAAATTATATTAGAAGTAAATTTAACTATACGTATATATAATAAATAACTATTATTAGTTAAACTTCTCCTTTGAAACAAATTTTCCTTATTAATCGATTTATACATAAGTCATCCTATATACAATATATGTTTGCGACTTAAAAATGTTTTAACACAATAAAATGATACGAAGAGAAACGTTGCTGTCACCAGAGAATACTCTTTGAGTACCGAGCGAAGGAAAAATCAAATAGTATTAACTAACAAAAGAATGAAATAAAGAATATTTCTAGTCAAAGCAATAATAAAGACTAGAAGAGAGATAAATTTTCCACGGACTTTGTCACTTTATTATTTTACAATAATTAAATTCATTATTTCTTATATTAGAAGTTACATAGTTAACTTTGTCATACCTCTTATTGAGTTATTTAAGGGTCAACGAAGCGTATTGAGATATGCAGATATAATATATGATACGGCATGGTACGAAGAAATAAAGTGCAGTGTCTAATGAATGTTTAATGGTTAGCAAATGTAATTTCTGGTACGTCGTCAATCCAACTCGTGCATATACAAACCGCAGTACGTGAGAAGCATAGCTACCTACTACCTTTCGAACGGTTCGAAGTTCGATTTCTCTTTCATCAGGACGTGAAAGGCATTATGATACGAAAATGCTGAACTTGTTTAAGTAGAGATGTTTAAGATAATCCATTTTTACTTCCAACTGCAGCTAATTGAATATTGTTATTTAATTTTATCTTGGTTTTCGTAAATTTTAACTTTACCAAAGCTTTAGATCCTTTAAACAATCTTCAAAATACACGGATACTGTGAATTATTATTATTATTACATACTGCTTAAAATTAATTACTTTCTTATCTATAAAAGTACTTATTAATTTTTTGCTGATAAAAGGAGGATAATGTAATATAAAAAGCAACAAAGCGTAAAATATTGATATGCAAATCAATAATTCAATATTTAAAATACGAACCAAAAACTAGATATTTAAGACTCTATTGGCAAAACCTTTGGCAAAATTGGATTATTGACTATTGACGTTGATTGATCATTAATTTATTTTTATCTTTAATGAGTTGTTAATTAATGGATTGGCAATCGGATCGAAAATTCGAATTTGTGAAATACTGATATAAACTTAATTATTATAGAATACAATTCCAATATTAATA